GACGAATTGGGGGGAGGGGCTGCGTTAGAGGACAGGTGAAATTTGCAGACGACTGGCCATGCATGCAAATGCAACATTTGCAACTGTTTGTGCAGCCCGCTGAGTTGTTGCTGTTTTCTCTTTTTTATACTCTTAGAAAGGGTATTGTAGAGGATTAATTAAAGTATAGAAAACAGCACATAAAAATATTACCCTTTTTGTAGTATATTTTAAATTTCTCATACAACTGTTAAATATGTTAAGTTATGTATGGTTGAAAAAGAGTATCCCAGTTGTTGGTGTTCGAAAACTTAAACTTTTCTCTATTTTTTGTTGGTTCTCTGTTGCTCTTGCCGACAAGGTGGCAACACTGACACCAAGCTACAACACCAACAACAAATCTGCAACAACACCAACAGCAACCTTGCAACACCAACAACCGGCAGTAATTTGGACACCTTGTCTATGTGTGTTTGCTTAGGCAAGTAAGAGAACGGGATCAACAAGGGTGAATTGATAGGGAGAGAGTGGAAAGTAGAAAGCCAAAATGAACAACAGAGGAGAAGGAAAATGAAGACTGAGAGAACAGAAGGTAAAGCCAAATAATAAATTTTAACCCTTAACTCTAAACGAGGAATCAACCATAAAAGTTACACGCTTTAAACAAAATTTTTACCCTGACAATAATCATAATAATAATTTTAATCAGCAACAAAAGGCGAATCATTCTAGCCATCTTGGGAAGAAAAAAATATATACCAAATTTTTTCAAAATTTTTAAGGGTAAATTACATTATTACGATTTAAAAAAATTGAAAAATTTTAAACTAAGTATGCAGACTAATTAAAATAACAAAAACTAACACAGAACAGTTTTCCGATTTGAAATGAATTCATTTTTGGCTTAGTTATGATCAAATAATATTTACTCCAGTGCGTATACGTAATTTTTACTTGGGACTGCTAAAAATTTAAATATTAAAAATTTCGTTTAAATGTTTATTTTTGATAAATTCTGGAAAGCAATCTAGCAGCTAAAAAGCGAATGATTTCACTTTAAGTTGTGCTTCCGGTCTGAGTTCAGCTCTAAAGTATGCTAAATTTTGTAATTTTCAGAAGTCAAAAAATTACGTATACGTCCAGGTGGAAATTGTATTACAGTTTTAATCAGAAGCTTGAAACGCTGTGGAGGAGTCATTTCCGACCATATATATCATATATATTCTTGATCAGCATCAAAAGCCGAATCGATCAAAACATTTAATTTTTTCAAAATTTTTTAAATTTTTTACGGAAATTTTACATCAATAAAATGATCAAAATTTGACAAAAATTGTAAGTTTTAAAATTTGTAAACTAAATATGTAGATTTATTAACCTAGTAAAAACTAGCACAGAAATGATTTTCGAATTGAAATGCGTTTTTTGCTTAGTTATGATCGATTCCATGTCGAACTTTCTTACCCAATCCTCGCTACCGGAAGTTCTATTTTTTCTTGTTTTTATATACATGCTGATATAAATACATATACAATTAACCATTATGCTTCGTTAAGTGTGTTTTGTTTTCGTTCGTGTCTCAACCTGTTGCCCAAAACTGTATAAGATGTCCGCTCTGCAAAACACCTCAAAAAGTAGTTTTTTGATGTTTGTGTGCAAAGTGTAAAGTGAAAGAGTGCGAACAGTTGAGTGGAAATTGCGCAGTTGAGAAAAGTTAAGCACATCGATAATATATTTCATATCGGAAAAGCGAGTGCAACGCTCCCGAAACGAAAAACTTGGTAAATACTAAAAAGTCCAGGCCGCAAACCCTTTTCACATACACAAGCTCACAAAGTTAACCACAAATGTAGACAGTTGTGGTCAGAATGTTAGAAACATAAATTATATAAATAACTTCAGATAGAAAATGGTTTCAGCGGATGTAATACTTGTTATTAAATTAAAACCAAAAATATTTACATTTTCAAATTGCTCTTGTAAATAATATAAAATATAGAATTTTGAAAAATGTATAACATTTCAAACATTTAAGCTACTAAAACCAAATCCCAAATATCTCAAATTCCCTGAGCTATTACTTTATGCCCAACTGTTCCTACATGTATCCATGAAGTTCAAACAAATGGCAAAGTTAAATTTGAAAATAATAGAAAAACTTTTCGCAGTCACTCTGGCAAACAGCAGCAGCAGCAGCAACAACAATAACAATAACAATAACAGCAAAAGGCAACAACGGACAAACAATAACAATAATGCAACTAAAATGAAACTATTTCGAGTGAAATAAATCTGTTGGAATGTGCAAAACTCCACTGCCAAGCGCATTGCGGCTTGCATTTTTCCAAACAGGACTCCAAAAGTGGAGATGTCTGAAGGAAAGGGTGGCCCCCCAAAAATGGGCGGTGGGTGGTTGAAAAAAGAGGGGGGGCGTGGCAAAACAGAAAAACTGGTAGTAGAATCATTTTTATTGCCAAACGTGTTTGTTGCTCAATTTAACTAAAAGTGCTGCCAACATTTGGTGCTGTCTCTCCTTGCCCTTTTGCAGCCAAAGTAAAATGGAGAGAAAAAGTTAGGGATAAATGTAGAGGGGTTCCTAAAAAGAAGGTATTAAAATACTCTGGAAAATCCTATATTAACTATTGATACTAATTATTAATTGAAGTTTGCATTGCTTTTATGTACAAATTATAAACATTATTTAAATACTACTAACATAAAGCTCAAGCAACCCTTTCTAAAGAACCCTTACCCTGGGTATTCCTGCTCATACCAAAAAAATAAAAAACAAGACAAAGTTTTGTTGGTCATTGAACTGATTGCCATTTTAGCCGTTGCCATTTTCATGGCATAAATATCACAAAAATGAATTTATTTATACCTATATGCACATGCAGGCAACAAACCCATCTGTGTATATTGTGTACACATGTGAGAATATTTATTGCAGGCATTGTTTGGCCATATTCCTGTTGTCTATTTATTTGCCGCCTTCCGTTTTGCCATTGTGTTTATTTGTGACTTTCTATTTTTTTTCAAGCCGCTGTGTTTTCGTTTTGTTTTGTTTTTGGTGATTTGAAATCGATGCATAAATAATGGTTTATGCCAGAGGCTCTGGTTTCCCCTTTATATGACTATTTTAGCCTCGGCCTGTTCAACCAAAGTACAGTGTCGTTCATAAGTGTAGAGAGATCTACTGAAACTAAAAAAATTTAATTGGAATATAAGATTGCTCTGTAAATATACAAGCATGCAGAACCTTCTATTTTCTCATCAAATAAACTAAATTTATGATTAATTTTGTAGAAATGTAATACAATGTACAAAAATGTTCATATATTTACAAAGCTCACTGTAGAGCGCATGGTAAAAGCCCGGAAAATCACAAAAATGTGACAAAAATTTTTCAATTGCACAATATACGGGCATAAATTTTATGCAATAAATAGCCAAAAACCCAGAAAGAGCCACAAAAATCGAAATAAAACGAAGAAACTTACAACCGAGAAAAGGAGCAAATGGTGAGAAGGGCCAAAAAACAAAAGATTACCAAATCAACAATCGGTTGGGAAAAGGGCGCGAAAGATCGTGAAAAGTTTTAGCTGCTTTCGTGACGTTTGCCAATTGCTGAATTCTCGATTCCAATGACAATCGCCGCAGGATAAAACAACATCAGGAACAGGAGCAAGGAGCAGCAAAAACAAGGTGATGGCACGCCCACTTAGCCAGCTGTCGGTTCAACGCCCCCCAAAAAAAGGGGCAAAGGAAGCGAACGGGTTTCGTCGCTTACGTGACTTGTTTCATAAACAAACAGAAGGCGCAGAAAATTGGCACAAAATTGCCAGCGAATCCTTTGCCAAAGGACCAAGGGGCACAGGTGTATGAGTGTGTGTGTGGGCTTCACCCCGTATCCTGACATTGAGCGGCGTGAAAGTTTGCCACCCCGTGATTTCTCCATTGGCAATTTGGCACTTTTGCATACAAGTTGGTAATTGTTTCCGCCAAGCATTTTGTGCAACTGCAGCTGGGGGCCACTGCATGTCCTTTCTGCCATTTTAATCATTCAAAAGTCGTGGGCAGCTGCGTTCGCTTGTTCTTCTCTTGTCTTTGTGCATCAGACAGGACATCCCTTTTTGGCTTCAGTCAAAAACCCGGACAGTTCTAAATGAGGCATCGAAAGGACACGAAAGTTTTCTCATTATGCCATACTCACACATACACACGTAAACTACCCCTTGTAAGTTTTCCCTTCTTACCCACAAAAAAATAAAGAATAAAACTAAAATAATCAAGAAGGAAAAAATGGAAAGTTGTCGTCACTTTGCTTAACACACAATGGGAAAGAAGTGTGTGCAGTTAAAGAAATGATTGTAAAATCAAACAATATAAATTGAAGACAGAAATCTGATCAAACTCAAGATGAATAGTTTTTTAATAATTAAAAATACATCTTAGTAATTGTATCTCAAAGTTAAGACTTTTGATTCCAGCAATCTCTATAAATCTTATGTAGAATATTTTTTGGCCAGTGCTTTATATCGCTGAGTTGTTCTTCAGAAGGAACGAAGACGCTCTTGCAACCCAAAGACAGGTGAATCAAGTTTTCACTTCCTATCCAGAGAGAAGGGGAAGACAGAGTTCTGCGTGCGGCGAAACTTTTCATGCATATTCAACGTCATTAGAAAGTCAGGACAAAGTAGCTGAAGGCAGCAAGGCAGGCAGGCAGGCAGGCAGGCAAGTAAAACAAACCAGTTTAAGGCGCTAAAATGTAGACTATAAATTATGTCATAGGTATATAGTCGACCTTTCTCCACGAAGCTCTCTTTCTCAGTGTCCTCTGGTGAATGCCGAGAACGTAAGTGGGCTTGAAAGGAGTGCATTTAGAAAGTTCTGAAAAGCGTCTTAATTGCAATGCAGCAGTAAGGATTCCAGGTGGAATTTAATTTTTTCTTGGGCAGATTTTTGGAGAAATTCTGGGCATATGAAACCTTATCCTTGGAATAATATTAAGTTATTTACCCTTAAAGCGTAGTGCAACATTTTAATGTTTAAATACAAACTGAATGTAAATGAACAATTGTAACTTTGTGCTTCCTACATAATAATACAACATCGGCTACCTGGTCTGGGATTGCGCGGCTGAATGTCCTTGCCGCTATTGTTCTGTTCCTCTATCGGCGTCTGTTCCTGCAACTGCTGCTGGTGCTGCTGCTGCTGCTTCTGTTGCTGCACTTCTGGCTGCACATCTTCCACAATATCAATGACCTCTACCTCGGCATGGGCAATGGGATTGGTTGCACTCCTACTCAGCTTTGGGTCATATGATTCGGCCCCTACATTCATAGCCTGAACCTCGTCCAGCTCAAGGTCAACCATCTGCTCCTCGTAGGGTTCGGCAGCCTCCATGTGAGGACTAGGGATAGGACGTAACTGCTCCACACTGATCTCCGCCAAATGGAATCGAGACGCGGTCCATAGGATATGTCCTCCGATGAGGCCGTGCTCCAACGGGTATAGGGTCCCACTAAGGGGGTTTACATTTTAATATATTTGTAGTTTATTGAATGGAATAATTTTTTAATTTTATTCATCACAATACTTACAACTATCATAGAGCTTATTGGCCAGTAGTTCGGCCTTGATTTGAGGCACAAACACTGGGGCATTCGGATTGAGGCGTGTGTCTAGAGTGCTGGTGGCACGCTCTATCGCCGGGCAGGGTTGCGAAGTGGGCGGTGGCTGTGGCAGTGGCAATGCCTGTTCGGCAGGTGGCGGGATCTCTGCACCGCCCACCTTCCTCTCAAGGTCGTCGCCGTTGCTTTTGTTTTCGGTATCAATGTCCTCGGTGGTAGACATCCTGCACAGTTAGAGAAAAATCCTTAATGTTCGCTGTACTTCACACTAGACTTCCAAACGAACTGAGATTTCTGTTTTTTTTCGGGGCAGCTCGTTGCTCAATCTGACAGCTAACTCAGATAGTTACTTGAATCGCTTGAAAATTGAAATACAGCCCTTAGCTTCCCAGAAGGAGAACGCGATGGTTGTGTATTTATCTTTACAATTTTGATAAAGTTCGGGAAGGCTGTGATTGTGTTTTTCCACTCCAAGTGTAACTTTCGTGGTAATTAACAGCTGTTCATCGTAGGTTAGGTTTAGTATAGCTTGAAAATGCCCTGAATTCTCAAAATTAAATTTGAAATGGTCAGAAAAGGCTACTTGGGTTCGTTGCAGGCGAAAATTCAAAGAAAGCCTCTTAGATATTTAATGTTAAATGCTTTTCTCAATTAGATATATAAATTTAAAGCCTAATCCCATCCATTGCATTCTTTGAATATTTTACCCAAGCAAATAAAACAAATTACTAAAATAAATAAAGTTTAATTCAAATTGATAATTCCATATCCTTTAGAGCCTAGTTAACAGCTCAAAGAAGATTATTAAGTAATCTGTTTATTATCTATTTTGAAAACAATTTCCTATGCATTTAAATTCAATTTATAAATTCTGTAAAAATTTTCACTGACATCTTTGCTAGCACATAAATCGAGTTTGACAAAATTTTAATTAAATAATAAGCATTACAACAATTTTAATAAGTCGCATAAATAAATTTAGATCAATTTCACACAAAGTGAGGTGAAATTTTCAAACTTTATGCGGCTTTTCCTGTGTCTTTCCCTCCCCCGTCTCGTTTTTCCTCCCCCTTTTCTGTGTGCGACAAATTAAATTTTGTGAAAACCGCAAATTGACAAATATTTTCGTTTGCCCAACATGAAGAAAGCAAAATTCACAGCACTCTCGCATCGAATCTGGGGTATTTTAATTGATTTGCGCTAAAATTTATTGATTTCATTTTGTCAACAGTTGTTGCCAGATGAACCGCAAAGGACCCCGGAAAACCCCAGGACCTCCCCCAGAACCCCAGGACCCCTTTCACCATTATCCCAACTTTGGCTCATTAGGGGTGGCTCCAATATTTGCATTTATTTTGTGCGTGAGGCTAATTTGCATGTGCGAGTGTGTTAAAACATAAATTAGTTGACTCAACCGACACGCCCACACACTCCAACCAAAATAATATACATATATGTGAGTGAGCAGGGAGAGGTGGCAATGGAAAGGAATCAAGGATTTATGGCCAATTCATTGCATTTGCGTTTTTGCTGCAACGACCGATTTTCGCGTACCGAACTAATAGCGGTTTCAACTGTTTTTAGTTAATTGCGCAAATTACTTGCGCTAATTTATTGGCCAGCCTTCAATGGCCATTTTGTGGATTCGACCTCTTTATATGAACGAGGTTACCTCGTGTTTGTATATACAATATTTTTTGTATTTGCTTGTATGAGCTTAGGAAGGTTCATTAAAATGATAAATTATTGTTGGGGTGTATTGAGAGAGATTTTTGTGTGAACATTTTATAATTTGTAAATTACAAGTAAGTAATTATCACGCAAATTATTAAATCTGTTCTGGGAAATTAACAGTTTCCAGGTTATATCGGTTTGCATATTTTATAAATCGTAATTGTATTTATATGTTTTAAAATAATAATTTATGAGGGAGAGTTTAATATTTGATAGATATCCTTCAGCTTTTTTCATAATATCTTTAGTTTTACCTCTTAGAAAAGTTAGAATTTCCCAGATTTCAATTGATACGATTAAGCCTCAATGCTGTGAAACCCCTTGAATTCATAAATCCCCCTGAAGAGAGAGCAATAGGAAAGGAGAGCTACCGGCTTTATTTAGTTACTCAATCAGGGACACAAACAGCACTCGAGTTGTTGGCCAGTTTCAGTTCCAGTTGGCAGACAGGCGAAGGGCAAAGTAAATAAATGAAACGAAGTCTTCGCACTTTTGTAAGGTCGCTCCTCCTCAGTGTTGACGGCCTCATAAAAAGGTACAAAAAGTTTCTCTTTGGCCAGATAAGACATAATCTGAAACACAAATCAAGGTAAATTTAAAATATAAATAAGAAAGACAAGGTTTATATCTTGATTTGCAACATTTGAGTATTTAGTATAGCAATAATTACCTTTATATTTAATACCTTTTATTAAAAGTAAATTCAGTTAATTGTTTAGAATAAATAAAAGATCTAAAATAAACTTTTACAATATATATGTTGTTTCGAAGTCAGTAAACTTGTCACTGAAAAAATAACCAAAGCAATAATCTAGCAAGCAAAAAAGGATTTGAAATCTGCGGAAAAAGGATTCTATAAAATTGATCTGATTTAGTCTCAACTTCAATTCCATTCAGTTTTAATCATTCTCATTATCTCATATAATAGATTTCCAAAATATTTGAAAACCACCCTTTGACTTGAAACCAGCCAAGCTGTCGTCTCTATTTCTCCGCCAGACAGTCAGTCATTCAGTCATTCAGTCAGTCACCCACTTGGTCAGTCACTTGTGCTGCACATTCAAGTGTCACTGATTTGAGGATAAGCACTTCACAGCCAACTTGATAGCCACCATAGAACCCCCCAGACCCGGGGGCAACCAACCCCTCCCTATAGAGTAGAATGGGATCGGTTTTGCGCCGTGTGCCGGGCTGGTTTGGTTGGTTGTCCCAGCCAGCCAGCCGTAGTTGGGAATATCTCTCATTCGAGGGCCACTCGTGCAAAGCGAACTAATTTGAATATATAAAATCAGCAAAGAACTGCTTGCGGGGGAAGCCCCACAGAGAGACGGAGACAGACAGAAAGACAGTCAGACAGACGGACCAAAGGACTGAGGGCAAAATGGCAAAGAGCAGAGATCCCAACTGAATGGCTGACTCAATGACCAACTGGATGAATGACTGGGCCAGTGAAATTGATGAAAACAAAAGGCCATCATTACGCTCAGCTATCTTTTGTGTCGCCTTAATTGATATGCCTCAAATCGTTGACAAACTCGATTAAGTCCGGCGAAAAAAAAGGGTTTTCATTTAATTCGTTTGCTTCATTGAAGTACAAAACTTGGTTTTGCGGATGACTCAAATTGCATTAGCATCGGTTTCAGTATGAATTAATAAAATAAAACCAACTGAATGGAGTAGTACCCTTACTCCAGATATGAAGCCTTTTCCGTCTCAAATTTTGATAAATCGAAATTACATTCTGTTTCCGAAATGGTAACGCATTGCGCAGCATTTTTAAGCCGCTCGTTGATGGGCTTGCACCTGTCCACCTTGATTCCCTTTTTCTCCTAGCCTTTTTGCTGGCCTAAATCGGGGTCAAAAGTCGGAGCAAGCCAAGCGCAACTTATTTATAGTGGCTCGTGCGATGGCGACGCAATTTATCGTCATTAGCGAGTAGCCGCAAACGAAATTTTCACTTGAAAATTTCACAAGCTGAAATGAAAATGCCTGCGGCGTGTCCTGTCGCTACTCCGTGGCTCATTCGGCTTGGTTCAGTTCGGTTCGGTGCGTCCTGGTCCTTTGCTTTTGTTAATGACGATGCACTGAAACAAATGCAGTTACTAATTAAGAATTAAATAAGAAAGCGACTAAGAAACTCGTAATAAGAAAGGAATGTAGCTTAGAATGCTTTTTAATATGTTCTATCTAGGAAGCTAGATAAATTGTATTAATTCTTTTGTAATTATTTTAAAATCATTGAAAGATTGAGGCATTTCTCCCAGCGCAATGAACAGGATGAGGAGACGACAGCAACGACAACGACGACAGCGGTAATGATGATTACTGGTGGTTTTAAATCATCCGCTAATTATTGCAATTGTTGCTCACCATCGTCGTCGTAATTCTTCGATCTTCATATTGCCTGAAGGCTTGAAAACCGCTGATGACGTTCCCACTTGCCCCACCAACCGAATAATTGATGATGGCCAAGCGGCAGACCAGACTGGTAATCAAATACTCAAAGAGTTGATTTGCTTTTTTGAGCCAAGCAAACAATTTCCCTAGGCAAACCCCCAAAAAAAAGTAAAAATAGAAAAAAAAGGAAGGAAAATGGGGAAAAGTAATCGCAGTCAATTGAGGGGGCGTGAAGCCCTGCATAAATGCATGTGTGGCGAATCCCCTTAGCAATCAACCTAATTTATTATGGGTACTCCCCCCCTGTGAAACCTCGATGGCTGTTATTCATCTATGAATGTTAACAATTTCAATTGCCGTTTTGGCAAAGTTCGAAATATGAAATGCAACAGCCGCAGCAGAAATGTGGCTTCTAGTATGTGTTTTATGTTTTATGTGTTTTGTGGCAGTCACTTTGCGGCTTTTATTTTCTCGGTTGCCTTGAAGCCCTTGAGGCCAGGTTGAAAAAGGAATACTATAAATTAGTCATAATTTCAATCGTTGTGCGGTTCATGAAGTGAAAAAGTAGTTGGTTTGTTTTGGTTTGGTTTGAAATAGAGTTAAGCTAAAGATATCGATATTGAAGACATATATCCTGCAGTATATCCTGTAAAAGATATATGTAGGAATGCATAGAAATAATAATATTTTAACATAAATAATATAAACATTTTCTTAAACATACATTTCATTTTACAGAAGGATAGGGTATAGTAAAGCACTTAGAACCATGATTATATCAATGAATTTTCATGAGTAATATAAGGAAAATTACTTATAGAAATATGCAAAGTCGATAAATTAACTTTTAAATATTAACCCTATAAAATCTTATCTATTTTGATTTAAATCTAGTTTAACCCTTTTATTTTCCTTATATTCTTTGTGTTAATTAATCTTGAAAATTAACAAAAAAAAAATAGTTTGCCTTGTTGACTATTTGGAATGCATAACAGATCAGGTCTGTTTCAATATTTGTATTTTACTTGTAGAATCCAAACGTGTTGTTGGTACTCCCACTGAACCACCTTCTGAGCCTGGCTAATGCCCACACATTGACACATACGTGAGCACACGGACGGACGGACTGACTGGCGGACAGACAAACAACTCATTTCGCTCAGTGAACTCAACAATAAGCATAAAAACATTCATCACTGATTCACTACGTGAGCTGGTTCACCAATTATGATGGCCTAGGTAGGGCTATAGGGATATATACATATATAGTATCTGGGGGATCTGGGGACGTGGCTTGGTGCCGGTGATGATGATGAATATATGAGTGCCGCTGATTGAATATCAACGCCCGGGCACAAAAGGAATTTCACATGCCGGCTTTGGCTTCTCTTAACACTTTTCGTCCTCGTTTCCGGCAGCAGTTTTCCCTTCTCCACATTACAGAACATATA